AGTTGCTTTTAGGATTACTTCTGGAACAGAAAGAAAGGATAAGATTGTGAAGGAATATAAAGGGCTTTCAAATATATCTGTAATATTTTATTTCCTAAAAAAATATCTGAAGCAAAGATGGCAAATGTCAACATTTATTAAATCTGGTGGTAGACACATGCTATATCTACATGGGTGCTCATTACGTACTTCTCTGAATTATTTTTTGTTTAATATATCTCATTTTTTAACAAGGGGACTGTAACAGCATAACATTCCCTGAAACAGTGAAATACTTATCTTACTGATGACCTTGTAAAGATCTGATACTGTTCCTGCATCTAGACCCCCATAGTCACAAAGACGGTTTTATAATTGGCCAGAATGCTGATCTATTTTAGAACAGAACTTAACAGAATCTAATCAAAGTGCTGTAGTCCTCCAAATGTTGCCCGGGAGCTTCCCTCCTCTCGTATTACTATTGTATTGTATTGTATGCCTTTGGGAAAATAACTTACGTTTAGTTTTTAAAAACACCTATCAGTTATTACTGACATTCAAGTACAGGCATGCACACCCTCTCCCTCCACATACACACCGTCCCCAATTTCTTCATTAAATTCTGATGAATAGGTTTGGTGCCAGAACAGGATGAAAAGAGTGGTCAACAGTTGCTGTAATAGTGGGAAAGACTGTGAACTGGTAATTAGGCTCTTTTCCCTGCTTTCTTTGTTCTCCTTCCTTTTAATTACACTCTAGTTAGCCCAGAAATAAAATTGTAACAACACGTTAAGCTATGGAGCTGTTAAATCTGCTAGAGACACATTATTCTCATAAAGCTGGCTCACATATTTCAAATAATGTTTCCTATCCATCCTTCATTGTGAAACAAAACAAAACTCTCCAAATGTCAAACACCAAGATGTGGCAGGTGGTCCATAAATCCTAATGAGAAAATTACTTAAGTGTCTCCTACTTTGCCTTTTGGCACAATTGTTTGGCACAATAAAGGAAATATTTTCCCAGAGGGGAGAAAAAAGACTATTCTTTAACTCTTAAAACTGAAAATGCACCACAGCTTTGATGCATTTCGAATACACTACCAAGAAAGAGAAAGGAAAAACTAAGAAGCATTATTAGCTTTAGTGACATTAAAGACAATGGCTGGAGATGAAACTTCTCCCCAACAATTTAAGAAGCAAAGGATCTGGATGGACAGACTGCTTCTTCTACGTTGCTGATGAAAAAAGGAAATTGCTAATTTCTATTTTTTCTCCATTTTATTTATTTTTAGGGAGAGGGGAAGGGAAGGAGAAAGAGAAGGAGAGTTACATCGATGTGCAAAGAGATACATCAATCAGTTGCCTCTCACACACCCCCAAATGGGGACCCTGCCTGCAACCCAGGCATGTGCCCTGACTGGGAATCAAACCAGCAACCTCTAGGTTCAAAGGCAGGTACCCAATCCACTGGGCCACACCACCCAGGATTCCCATTTTAAAATTATGAAAAAGGCAGATGAAGCATATACAAACTGGCTGAAGACAGAAATAGTAGGTTTTCTGAAAATCAACAAGAACAATGAGGCCTACTCAATCCTCTGAAGTAACTAACTAAGGGGTCGGTCCCTCCATCCTTTATTTAGGGATGTCTTTGTTACTGTGAAAGAGATAATCATTTGTCCACCCACCCATCACTGAAATGAAAAAAAAAAAATTTATTGAATACCAAGTGGTGCCAGACCCTAGATATTTTGTGTGTGGAGAGCGGAGGGGCAGGGAAGATTAAAGAAAAGATTAAAGATTAAAGAAAATTAAATACCATCTTTTTCCACAAGGATTGAATAGTCTACTGAGACTCCCCCAAAACCCTCCCAAAATGCAGGTGTCTCATTGAACTCAACCTTCTGCTTTTCGAGGTAGAAGCCATACTCCTAAAAGAAGGAAAGCTAACAACAAAAAAAGCACCTTTCCCTGAAAACAGTGAGAAATTTGGGATCGTTCTCAATTTGAGTCTTGGCTCCTCAACTCACAATCCTGGTGGTCTGAATATTGTCATTTAATTCCTCCAGGGCTCATTTCCTGCATAAATTGGGGATAGTCATTTCCATGTACCAACTGGAGTTTAAGATTACATGGAATGATGCAACATGCCTAAGGTCCCAAAGGTGCATCAACAGAGCGAATCTACGAGCTTAGGACAGAGGGAATTGGCAGTTTTGCCTCAAGGGACTTAGAAGGGGCACAGAAAAGGTATCAACCAATCTCGGTGGGGCTAAACCTTCGAGTGGAAGACAGAAATGCAGTTGTTATACAATTGTCCCTTTACGCCCAAAATAAAAGCAGTATTTAGGGTCCTTCGGTTTGTCACTATTTATGCATTTTCGTGGGAGTATTAGTAAGAGGAATAACGGATAAAGCACTGCATTTAGGACACCTCTACTGTGCAACCTTGGGTTCACTTTACCTCTTTGGGCTTCAGTTTCCTCATTTGTAAAACGAGAATCAAACTTCCTGCTTGAACCATCCACCCAGCTTTTTTAAGGATCCAACTCAAACGTACGTGAAACCCCTCAGTAAGCGCTAGGGAGTCTGGCAAGTATGACGTTAGTAATTATTTTCACCAACAACTAAGCATGCCTGCTTGCTTTGTCACTCTCCTTTATTCTCGACCTTTATTAACGTTGTAATTTATAATCGCAGAAATAAATGAAATCCTGTGCCCATTTCTGGCACCAGGTTCTCCGACCCCACCCAGATAGATACACAGCCAAGCCACCCCGGCGGCTCCACACCGAAATAAACTTAGCCCTCTCCACCCGCGGGCTGGCCCTAGCCCTTCAGGCCCAACCACCGAGAGTTCTGGAAACCAATCCCCGCAGCCCTCGTGCACCGCCCCTTCAAGAAGAGAAACACTTATAGCGACCCGGAAAAACTGCTGGGACGCAAGCCAATCACTGCAGAGGGCCGCCCACATCCGGCAAGGCTCAGAGGCGGGGTCATCGGTCAAGATGGACGGCGAGAACAGCCAATAGAGTTATCGGAAACTGGGCAAGGGCGGATGCCGGGAGCTCACAGAGCGGTTAAGGCCCCTTGAGCCACCGGCCAAAGGGCCCGGCTTGGACTACAAGTCTTCCCTTTATTCACCCCCAAGCTCTCAATCCCATGGTTGCTGGCTGGCCGCCCTCCCTGCGGACTATGGGTGGGAGGAGAACGGAGACAGCGGCGGCTGAGCCCGTATGACAGGCCAGGCCAGTGACAAAGAGCCGGCGGCCCAGGCTGAAACCGGGAAGCGATTTCTTCAGGGAGCAGAGCGTGAGATCCTTTAGAGATAGGAAAGACGCAACTCACGTTGTCGATCACAACAGGCTGGTTGGCGATCACATCGTAAGACTCCATGGCAGAGGAATCTCTCCTTCCGAGGAAGGAACTGCCTGCCCGGTCCGCTGCTAGCGCCACTGACACGCATGCGCAGACTAGCCGCCGGTGCAGGGCGGTCAGGGAGCGGCCCGATCTCGTCTCGGGAAAACTACAACTCCCAGCTTACGTTACGCCTGCAGTTAGAGGGCCAGGAAGCTTCGGAGCCCCGCCTAGTTTTAGGAGGCTGGCGCACAGTATCCTGGGTTTTGTAGTCTCCGTGAATAGACGCGGACGCAGATTGATGGTTGCATTGAACGCTTTGATCTGTAGTCCCTTAGGGATTGGCAGAGCACGTTTAAGTATTTTCCGTAGTTCGCTTCGGGTTGGCCAGTAATTCGTGGGTGTTTGGATTTTACAGATCATTCCTGCCACTTCCCACCACATCTCCTGGATAAATGAGGTTACTATGTTTTTATTTGGTTCCATAAAACATTAATAAACGTCACTATGACACTCTTAATAAAAAATTTTAGTACACACCCAGATGGGGAAGGACGTATTACCACAAAAAAGGAAAATAATTTAAATTGCATAAAATTTGCCTTTTAGAAAAAATATGTACACTTTTTTTGCTTTTTGCATTTTTTTCCCAGATAGGTGGAAACTTTGCAACAGGCTAACATTTGATGACTGGCATTTGGAACTACTGGTATAGAATTGACAGTGACAAGTGAGAACATAGAGGTGAAGAGAGATTATATGTCACTGCTTTCAAATGAGCTCAATGCATTTTTCTGTAGATTATTTCCTCCCCGCTTCAAGCAGCAGGAATCCTTTTAGTCAATAGCACTAGTAGTCAGGACTCTCTTCTTTCCCTATCTCTTGGAATTTCTTTAAGATCATTGAGTGGAAGACATTACGTTTTGAAAAATTATTATAAGCAGGAAAATAATCCTCAACCCGGTTCCTCAGCAATTAAAAATTCTTCCAGTAAAGAGAGTTAAGGTAATGCGGAAGGGCAGGCCCATAGTAGGTAATGAATACTGGTGTTCCTCAAGGCAATCTGCATACATCTGCCCAAAACTCAACAAAGAAGAGACTGTCATCACTAAAACATTTATTACGTAATTATCTAGTTTAAAAAGTTGATCCTAGTTTGCCTAATTCTTGTTACTTCCTGACGGAACTCTAAAGCAGGTATTTCAACATATGACCCCTGAATTTGGCGGTGTGTCAGTCAATACAGTTAATGGACATTCACAGACGTAGGCAATATTCAGATTTAAAACTAATGCCATACGGACGAGTGAATCAACCCATTACCAGATTTATGTTTAAATCCTTGTTAGCTCCGCGCCAGCAAGCCAATGACAATTCCTACGCCGGCCAACTGTCCAGTTCTTTCGTGGGACCCTAGCACCTCAGAAGGATGCCTCCACATCTCTATTTAACCCTGGGTTCCTTCTAACACTAGGGGGAGACCAAGAGCCTTGGGATGCCCCCAACACAGGGAGAGGGAGGCGGGACCTATTGCCAAGGCACGCCATCTCTGTGACTGGCACAGATATTAGCCAATGGAATAAGGGATAGGGTGCGCCGGTGCCCCGCCCCCTTGAGCTCCCCGCGGCCCCCAAGACACCCTCTGGCCTGCTTCTGCGGCGGCGACGGCCTGGGCGGACGGTTCGCTGTGCGCAGGCGCGGATCGTGGACCTCGCTGCAGCCCCCATCGCTTCGGGTAGTCGCACTTACGGGGTCCACCCGCTGGCGCGTCAGTTCTCTCCCGCTCGTCCGCCCTCCCGAGTCCTCCCAGCGCTCTACGCGCCGGGATGGCGGAGCTGCGGCCTAGCGGTGCCCCCGGCCCCACCGCGCCCCCGGCCCCTGGCCCTACTGCACCACCGGCCTTCGCCTCGCTCTTTCCCCCGGGACTGCACGCCATCTACGGAGAGTGCCGCCGCCTTTACCCTGACCAGCCGAATCCGCTCCAGGTTACAGCTATCGTCAAATACTGGTATGCCCTGGGCCGCGGGAAGACCGACGCGGCGGGCTGGGAAGAGTTTAAACACCCGGGGCGAAGTAATTTGCGGGGGAGGAAAAGGAGAATGGTTAAAGTACTCGGAAGGAGAGCTTCCTGCTGCGAGAGGAGTTAACGCTCAAGTTGGAAATGGGGACAAAGGGGTTAACGGAGCCTGTGGGTTTCGAAGGATTAACGAGGGTGGAGGGGTGTTGAAGAGTTAACTGGGATTAGGAGAACAGGGTGAATTGGGGGTGTGTGTAGGAGCCAAGCGGGGATCGATAGGAGAGAGGGAACTGTAAACGTGGTGAAAGGAGGGGGCGCCTGTAGGGGGTCATTAGTGGCAAGGGGAAGCTGGAGGGGGAGGCGAGGCGGAGCTTGGGGAGCATTTGAGAGGGCTTTGGAGGAGTGCGACTGGAGGAGCTCCGAGGGCAGGAGACCGCACAGGGTAGGGGCGGGTCTGGGGACCCGGGCTGTCCTGTAGGTTAGGAGGGGAGCAAATTGTGAGCGTCGTGCAAGTGATGAGGAGGAGGTCACCTTTTGATACTTTCCTAATGAGCTCAGACATCGTTATCAGTGTACTGCTTTTGTGTTCAAGTTTCACGAAACAACTTTTTCTGATAAACTTTCTGCTTACTCGGCACAGTTCTCTTTATGCAGAGCTTCCTCTAGCTCTGCAGCTGCTTTGCTTTAAGATATTGGCTAGAACAGAGACAGGGTCAGGGAGATCCGTGGTTTGGCTGAGGATGGAAGGGGACCACATAGATGCTGAAGATCCGGGGACTTGGACAGGGTGGAAAGAAGGCAGTGAGATGTTGAGCTTCCTGGCCACAAGCTTCAGGATTTAGGCAGCAGTTTCTCAGGGAAGCTGAGAGTAACCTTTAAGTAGCTCTGTGAAGAATGGGACCTGTTTACTGATGGGCTGCTCTTGGAGCAGAAATGGTCTTCTCTAGGTTCCCATTCCTGCTTGCAGCCTGTTTCTTCCTTCAGCTTCTGGGCAAAACTGGTGTTATGGCCACTGTGGAAGAAAGCCTATCTTCATGGTCTTTCTGGACCAAAAGTTGACTGAGAAATTGGTTGAATCTGTCCAGAACCACATTCTTGCAGGCATGGTGTTATATGGCCCCCTTCACTGAGTCCTGAAAGACTGTAGACAGCTGCTTGGGGTATGGTCAAATAGGAATTTCCCCGAAGGGGGAAATGAGTGCATGTCTTTGCTGGTTACCTCTCCCTTTAGGACTGAATCTTTCTCCTCCCGGACCATGTCTTACCTTTCCAGAAATGTCAGAAGCTAGGCTCTATAGGACTGAGACCAGTTCCCTGTGTTGATGGGAGCATGTCAAGAGGCTGACAGTGTGGAGGGCCTGGGGACCAGCCCCCTGCTCCTTAGGGATGATCATGGGAGCAGTCTGCCTCTGGTAGCGAGGAGGAGGTGTAGCCAGTGGTACAGTTCTCTCTGGTGAGCAAACTGTTCTCTGGTTGAAAGGAGTTTTTGAAGAGAGCTTCTGAGTGAAAAGCAGCTCTTGATAACTTAATCCCTATTCTAATTGCGCCTCTATATTTAAATATGTATTGTGATGAACTCTATTGGATTGTGTCATGAGAAAAGTGGGCCTGGCTCTGCCGTGCTGTTTATTCAGGCCTCATTTGAGCGTAAGGAGAAATTTCTATACAGACTTGGGCAACTGTTTTTGTCACCAAGTGGCCATGAAGGATAGAGTTGTGGGTAAAAGGTATTGAAGCACATGCAAAGGACTAAGACTGGTTTGGGCAACTTTTTTTTCTCTTCTTGCTGCAAGCTTGTTAAACCAGGCAGGACTTACCTTCAGAGATGGTCTAACATGTAATGATGAATAAAGACAATTGTACAGAACTCTGTGAAATTAGAAATGCTATCTACATGCAGAAAAATATAAGAGGGGACAGCCCTGCAACTAGTTCTTCCTAAGATTTAAAGGATTTTGCATGATTAAGATCCTTAAATTAATTCACTCATGTCCCTCACATTTGGATTCCACAAGACCTCTTCAGCTCTCATAGCAGGATGCCTGACCAAGGCTGCCTGGGTCTAGCTGTGGCCCAAGGAACCTTGGGATTCCTTTTCTTGGGACAGAAGGGTGGCTCTTTGGCTAGTGGACCCTGGTCGGCAAGGACGTGCTGGCTGAAAGCTGAGACTTAAGTAAGCAGGGAGCAGAAGCAGAGAGGCAGAGCCTGTGTTCTGGGGCTGCTCCGCTCCTGCAGCTGCTGTGGGGAGTGAAGTCAGGTGTTCAAGGAATTAAGTTGAGGGATGCTCTGGGTCTCTGAATAACATCTTTTTCTAAATTCCAAATATGAAAAATTTCTGCACACTCATCAGCTTTCCATCAGGTCTCTAAGTAAGTAAAGCAGAATTCTCCATGCTCAGGGATGAGATTCATTTGGTCTGACTCTTGATCATTCCCTGCAGTTGAAGCTTTAAGTTAAAGTCTCTTTCCTTGATGCAGTACTTCCTGGGAGACTTGGCGAGAAAGAGGGCTGCAGTGGAGTGGCAGATGTAGCATGGAACGGTGGATGCAGTTTTGCCTCTTGTTGCTGGGCGGACCAAGGCTGAAGTGGGCGGGGGGGGGGGGGGGGATAGGAATTTGCAGCAGGACACTGGAACAGGCATGGAGCTTGTAGCCACCACCATCTGTTCCTGGGCTCTGTAGCTATCATGGGGTCCTTGCAGAGCAGCTCCCCTTTTCTTTCCTCCCTCCTCTGACAAGCTTTCCTAAATCCAACTGGTTGTGGAATTAGTGAAATGATTTGGCAAAATCAGAGTTAAGGAAAGGCATGGAGATTTGTTCCTTTTCCTAATCTGCTCAGTTGAGATTCTAAGCTATTTGTAGCGACTTTCTTACAAATTCTATAAATAACTTAGCATTTCCTAGCACAGAATAAGGATTTTTACAAAAGTAAATAATATCCTGGCAAAGAAGATGAAACCAGACCTACTGGTCTTTTTCTTTTCTTATATTTGAGAGAGAAAGACCAACATCAATTTGTTGTTCCACTTATTTATGCATTCATTGGTTGCTTGTATGTGCCCTGACTGGGGATCAAACCTGCAACATTGGCATGTGGAGATGATGCTCTAACCAACTGAGCTACCTGGCTGGAGCCCTACTGGTATTAAATAGTGTTTTAATTACATGGTGCTGGCATGCTTGCTGGGATCACATGTAACATGCCTTTAATTTGTTGTTAGTGTTCCTTTAGCATACGACCCCAATTGCAAAGTGCACTCCATTCATGTCCCAGGGGCAGCAAAGTTCCTGCAGTCTGTGGAGTAGTCAGATGTATGAGGCAGCTCAAATGCAGAGTGTTTGTGGGCTACCTGCAGACTTCCTTCCACTGATAGTTTCCATTTCATCTGTTTCTCAAGTCTACCAGTTTCTCTATCCATTCTGAAGAAAAGCAGTATTTTTTTAATAGAGCATTAATTACTAAATGGAACCCTTATTGAATTAAATCCTCAGAGTGAGGATTTGACTGAATCCTTTCCTCAACTGCGTCTCTGTTGGAATTATGGGGAAAGTTTAATGTGATCCTTAGAGACCCCAAATAATTGAATGTTCCAGCTCTACCTTTGAGAGGGCAATCTCCTGGGGTCATCTTTCAGATCCAGGCACTCACAGGGCTCAGCCTGGCTTCTGCTGCAGTTTTGTATCTTTATCTGTGCAGGGCTGAGCTAGCCTAAATTTGGCCTTTGTCTCTTGCATGATAAAAGACTAGCTTTAGTCTGTGGGGTATGGGGAATGGGTGTGGAGGCACTGGGTTTGTTTAGAACAAACTGTAATTAACATAGGGCACAATATAGTCTTTCAGGAATTAGCTCTCAAAGAGGCAGGAGTGGAGCTGAGCCTCTCCTTCCAGGAATAGTGTCCATTGGGGATGCTCAGGATAGGCTTCCAACAGAGACCAGTTCGATTGACTGGTGCACCTCTTGCCTTGAAGCATGAAATGTTTGCAGGCACGATGGAAGAGAGATAATCCCCGCCAGACCCATTTGGGATTAGTAATTTGAAACAGAAAGAAGCAAAAGGGGCAACTATCAGTCTGTTTTATTTCTAAAAGAGGTCCTGCCTGCTGGGCATAGGAGAAAGGAGTCTGTCGTGCTTGTGGAATTGCACAGCTTCTAGCCACCCAGACCTTGGTCTTATCCCAGAGAAGTGTGGCCTCCCTTTACTTATCTTTTACTCTAGGTTCCTCCAGTTTGGGGCCCTTCAGGTTTGTAAGGCAGAGCCCTTTAGCTTCCACTGTCTGCATTCAGGCTCACACTGACCCCCCTCCGTGCTTTGTCTTTTGCAGGTTGGGCGGCCCAGACCCCTTGGACTATGTTAGCATGTACAGGAACGTGGGGAGCCCTTCTGCCAACATCCCTGAGCACTGGCACTACATCAGCTTCGGCCTGAGCGATCTCTATGGTGACAACAGAGTCCATGAGTGAGTGTGTGCCATTTGCCTCCCACCCTCCTTCTTCACCTGCCTGTTCCTTAGCCCTGAGCCTTCTTTTTTTTTTTTGAGATTTTTCCTGAGGAGGGGTGATGTCTCAGTTCTGTAGAGTTGGCATTTCTCAGATGGAACTTCTGGGTTTCTGTATCCTGCCCGTGTCTACTTGTGCCAGCGTGGTCCAGGTCGGCACCTGAGCTCTGCTTATCTGGTGCAGGAGAGTGTCGATGATGAGCAAGAGATCTAAAACTGCCATATTTTTCCAAGTTTGCCTTGGTATTTGAGCTCAGAGGACAGGCAGCATAGCTGTGACCCAGAACTTGTGTTGATGCTTTTCATTTTCTTTCTTTTTTTCTTGCTAACTTATTATGAAAAATTTTATACATAATGCAAAGTTGGAAGAATTTTACAGTGAACACTGAAATACTACCAAGATTCTACCATTAACATTTCACTCTGCTTGCTTTATCACGAATATGTTCATCTCTGTATCTTTCTCTATTCCTCTGTCCATCTTACCTACTTTCTACTGTGCTCAGATTAATCACAGTACATTTTTTATCCTGGTCCTTCTTCCATTCGCTGCCTTGTATACTTCTAAATCCTACTTGCCTCCCCTATTTCTTGCTATAATCACTGATTTTAAACACATTTTAATATTAAGTTAAACATAATCAATCTAGGCCCTATCCAGGTAACTCAGTTGGTTAGGGCAGAGGTCCCCAAATCCTGGGCCAGGCCGCGGGCTGGACAGTAGGCACCACCTGTGAGCTAATATGCTCACTTGAGCTCCACCTCCTGTCTGCCCCTGCCCCCACCTCTGTCTTCCAGGAAACAAGTCCCTCATGACAAAAAGGTTGGGGACTGCTGGGTTAAAGCATTATTCCAATACACCAAGGATGTGGGTTTGATCCCCAGTCAGGGCCCTTTCAAGAAGCTACTAATGAATGCATAAATAAGTGGAACAACAAATTGATCAACTTGATGTTTCTTTTTCTCTCTCTCCCCCAGTCAATACATTAAAAAAAAAATTTAACTTAATAGTAAATCAGTTAAAACAACAGCAGCAACAATAATAGTAATAAAAGCAAACATTTATCTAGCATTGATTATGAGCCAGGCATTCTTCTAATCACTTCACATATAAATACACTTTACATGTAAATACATTAACTAATTTTATTTTCACAACTGTATAATTTATTTTCACCAGAAGCTGGTGTAGATACTAATATTTGCCCCATTTTACAGATGGGGAAACTGCAATACAAAAAGGTTTCATAACTTGCTTAAGGTCACACAATGTGGAAACGATGAAACCAGGATTCTCACACAGGCAGTGTGGCTGCAGTGTCCATACTCTTTCAACTGTGCTCTGTTGCCTCTTAAACAATTATGTCACCTACTCTAATAAGCTACTCTCTGTAATTTTAAAAAACAAATTTTATTTCCATCTATACTCTTTTGAGGGAGGGGCTCTTTAAATGCTGTCTTTCCTTCCCCTCCTTAGCATGATTAACTAAGAGCTGATTCTATTTCTATTATATCCTCTGTTTTTGCTTTCTATACTTTATTTATTTATTTATTTACTTAGGCCCCTTCCACCATTTTTTAGTATCTTGGTAGTGGCTATTTAGTGTGTGGAGGCTGAAAAAAGAGCAAGGCTCTTCCTGCCCTGCCTCAGCCCAAGGGGCTGATGGCGGAAGCCATGATGATGGGGTGATAAAGAAGATGATAATAGTCTTTTTTTTTTTTTAACTTCTTATTGTCTTTCGTATCATTGTGTCAAATGCTTTACATTTTTATCAAGTTCTTTGTTGCCTCCATTTTCTATATAAAGACACTGAGTCCCTTGAAGGGTTGAATGAATTGGCTAAAGTCACACATCTAAGCTGTAAAAGTTAGGATTGAATTGAGCGTTCTGAGTCCATAATCTGAGCTCCTAACCATTGGGCTGTACCACCTCTCTGATCACGTGCCCTACCCAACTTCCTCTTTTCCCTTGTTAGGCTCAGGAGTTCCAGGCCTCCTCTCCTCACTGATTAAGAGTCGGGAGCTGTGCCTGAGCCTATCTTTGCAGCCTTCTGAATGGATCCATTGCAATGTCAGCAGAAGGCTTTGGGAGCAGGGAATTAATCCTGCTGAACAGGGACCCTGCATTACAGTATTAATAATGGAGCGAGAATAGCAAACAGATGCAGGGAATAAAGGGACTATGCTGGACTTAAATTTATACTCTTAATAAGAACCTGCAGAGGGTATTTAGTGCAGCTAGGCTATACCTTTTTGTTGACAGATTTATAATAGTTTAAAGAACACCATTTCCTATGTGGCTTAAATATTCTTACAGTCTACCTGCTTATCAGATAGGGATTCAAGGCCCAAAATGACGTGAAGAACATAGTTGAGAAAGCTTCATATTTCCAAAGGGGCAACCTCAGTTTGAAAGAGGGTCTTCCTTACTGTTTTTCCTAGTTTAACAGTACCCTTGAGCATATGTATCATTTCTGTATTTCTCAGTCACTTTGATATTCATGTCATTTATGACAATAATGAGACCTTCATTGGGCTTTCACTTCACCACTCAAGCCTAGTGTTTTCTGGAATCATATTCTGTCACTGGAAGGACATGATGGAATGTTCTTGGGAATTTACCCAGTTCTTGGGTATATTGCACGAGTTAAAAAATACCTTTGTAATTGGCCTTGCACTGGTGTGACTGGTCTCTTCTCAATCCTGGTAAGTTTCTTGAAGAAAAGTTTGCTTTTCCAAACATTTCATGTGGCAAGGCCACTTTGAGACAGACGCACGATTCTTACTTAATTTAGTGCTCGAAGCTGAGGTCAGAAAGGCGAGTGTTCTGCCTTCCAGTATAAGTGCTAAGAGGTGTTAAAGGGGAATTATAGCAAGTGAATTTCTGGCAATGTTCTTCTTCCACTGTCTTTTGTCTCCTCATTCAGTGAAAATATGACAGAAGCCTTGGTTCATTTATTCAGCATACTTTGATCAAGCGCCCGTTTTGAACTAGACACAGAACATCATAATAGGTATGTTGGGAATAAAATGCCAAGACACAATTCCTGTCCTGAGCTCCTGTTCTTGAGGGGAAGTCAACTAAAGAGGTGGTTATAGTACTGGGTAATTGGTGCTTCACTGCATGGATACAGAACATACTCTGGCAGCAGAGGGGAGCCAGTGGCTGCTAGTGAGGCTGCTGGATCTGAAGAAGCTCCAGGGAGGGGGTGAAGTTTGAGAGGACTCTTGTGAGCAGGGCCGGGGGCCAGATGTGGAGCCCGACACTCTAGGACACCGGCATCTCACTGGGAGGACACAGAGAGAGAGGCTTGAAAAACCTTCTAGCCCAGTGTTCCTAAAACTTCCAGTGCCGCCTGAGTAATTCTCACCGCCTATAGTATGTTATCTACTGTATGTTCTCTTTAAATTAACCCTTCTTTTAAAAACTAATATAAATAAATTTTTAGAAGTCAAATCACTATTATGTTTATATACGGAAACCAGTATCACTTGCTATAATTTAAAGGTGATTATTGAAATAAACATATGTAATAACAAAGCACTGTTATTAAATTCTAACTTAGGTAATTATGGAAATAGCACAGCAATAACAAAGCAATGTTATTAAATCCTAGCTTAATACTGTGGCCTGTCACAGATTCTAAGCCTGAGGCCACTTTTCTCTTTGTTCAAGAGATCAGCAGGAAGTATGAAAGAGGTGTTAAAAAGGTATGCTAATGCCAAATAGAACCTGACCCTAGACATGATTAGAAAAACTGAAAGAGAATTGAAAAGGGAACTTTTTTAAAAAAAGTATGATTCAGAATTATCTGTTGTCACAGATAAATAGGAAACACTGATCTAGCCCATTTCTCTTAATTGTACAGTTGAGGAAAGCCCAGCAGGCTGCCAGCGGCCATAGAGCAAGTTTGTGAGAGCAGCAGGCTCTCCTGCCATCCCTGCTGCTCTATGTGCGCGCAGTCCTGATTGGGTAGATAGGAGCAAACGGGGCCTTGTTTGTCTTTAAGATGACAATATAAGCAAACTTTTTTTTAGTTTTTACTATGTTCCATGTTAATGCTAAGTTCTTAATATAAAATTGTGATTTTTATGTTATCCTCAAAGTAATTTTATGACATAAAGAATTCTTATTATCTCTTGCTATAAATACAGAAATCTAGACTTAGAGAACTTAGTGCACAGGTGGTGAATTAGGAGCCGGGTCTAGCAGCCCCAAAGGCTGTGTTCTTAGCCCCGGTGCTGTATCGCCTTTCCATTTTAATTGGTCACCAGCATTTATTAAATGTCTACTGGGTGCCTCCTCCCCTTAAGATCTCCTCCTCGCAGCTTGTTGAGGATAGAGACAGCAGAAGCCCAAGGATTCCCTGCGTTTCTTGCCCCTGGCAGTCTTGCTTTGGGGGCTGCAGGGGAGCCCCGTCCTGGTAGCCCTGAAAAGGGTTAAGAGTAAACTGATTGGATGAGCCCTGGGATGGCCAGTTCCATCCAGGTTTTTCCCTGTTTACCTTCACGAAAGGAAACGGGACAAGAGAGCACTTGTTTGGATTAAAAGGTTCTTAAGAGGCTGTTTCTGAAGTTAGAGAGATGGAACAAGTTCCAGCTCGGGGCAGCCACAGGGGAGAATGGAGCGCTTTTCTAGGGACCCCAAGGCTACTCCCAACTGACTTCAGCAGCAGAGACAGCCCTGTTGCTCTTGCCTGGACTTGGGAGGTGTGAGACAGCTGAGCCCCAGCTGCCAAGTGCCCGTCGGAAGCCTGCAGCTCTGGCTCTTTCCTTTGTGGCCAGGCGGCTGTGGACTGGAATGGAGAGGTTTGTGGGGCTGTGCAGGAGGTGGCTCTCTGTGAGGATTTGGGCTGCCCCTGCTACTGCCAGCGGCCCTGGCTGGACCCAAGCTGTGTGTGGCGGCGGTGCGGGGGGGGGGGCGGGGGGGGGGGGCGGGGTGCCTAACCGTGGTGCAGGGG